TTCATTAGCATATCGTAAAAGTTGTAGCTTTCTTTTTCCGAAGGGGCGCACCTGGGACGCACATTGCATTTGTCAATGGAGTGATGATTGCAAGTGTTGTTATTTGCACCATTTGCCGCTTCACCTGTCACTATCCGCTGCTGTGCTCCCCTTTTTTTTCCCTCTTTCTTGATGGAGTAATTACTACTAAAGTTATGCCTGTCTCTACGCACATTTGACAGCACGTTATCATCGTTAAATTTTTTTTTAAATTTTTCTATTTCTTTAATTAAGTCCCTTAAAAATTCATTTTGGTGATCTCCCTTTTCTGCAAGCAAACAGTACATCGCATCGACGTCGATGTTTGGAAAGAGGCTGTTCGTTTGTTCTTCTGCGCCTTGGTCACCACTGGGCATAGGAAAATCGTCCACATCGTCATTAGATGATTTGAATTTTGCACTTTCGCTTGCTCCTTCGTTGGGAATATTCGGTGCGGGCTCGATTTTCTTTTTCCTTCCCTTGGTGCCCATCGCTTTTCCCATCACCATGTCGGTCACCCCATCGGGTGTGTTCCCCTTTTTGTCTTCTTCCTTCTCTGCTTCATCTCCACTGGTAGGGCTTTGGCCCTTCTCCGCAGTTTCTCCACTAGGTGCACTGTCACCCCTTTCTTTTTTCCCGTTCACAGTGTCACTAACTTGAGCATTTAGAGGGGCAGAGTTGTCCTCATTCGGCCCGTTTATTTTGAGTCCCCGTCCTCGATCTGCTTCCTTCGCCTCATTCAACTCATGGTCATGTTTGCCGCATACATTAGATGAGGAATTATTTTCCCTTTTTCTCCCCTTGGATTTTTTCTTCTTTTGATTCTTTTTGCTCATTCGGGAAGCAGAAAGAAGATAAAAGGGGAGGGGGGGCAGCGGCGTAATGGAAAAAATCAACGTAAAGAATGGAAGGGGGGAAACAAAAAGAAAAAAGGGAGATTCAAAAGGGGGAGAAAATATGCATCATAAAGAGGGAAGAAGGAAGGATAAGAAGAGGAAGAAAAGGAAGAGCTTTACTAGCGTTACAAGTAAGCAAATCTAAACGAACCGCGTTTACCAGACCCGCTATGCATTCGAATGATGCGATTCAGTACATTTTGCAAACGCATATATAGATGTACTATTTTATCTGTACATGCGAATCCCCGTTTCGTGTGATTTAAGCATCTATGTAAGTGAACAAGCCTTGTTCTCGCATCATGGTGACGACTGCTCTAAGTGGCGAATAAGGACCGACTCGGTGAAGCACATCAGCTACACGCACTGGGTTCGGAAGGCATGCAAATATAGGCCATATATGTTTTATGCGCATGATTGTGTTTCCCTTTTTTTGTAAGAACCGCAAGAGGCCGCACCTGCTCATAGCCCATATAATGTCGAAACAGAATTAACTAGTGAATAATGTGAGCCGATAAGCAGCGAGGTGCTATCATTTCCGCCACTAAGAAAAAATCCCCTATTTTTCATCGAAGGGGGAGATTTTAACTTTCACGATATTCTTTGTGAGGCAGAAGGTTACATTTGGACGTTTAAAATGGCATTAGGAAAAAAAAAAAAAAACTAATGCGTGAATAAACTAACCAATGGTGATGAATACAAACGATTGATGATATTGATGAGCAAAGGATGGCGTAAAGGTAGAGGGGAATGCTTGTTGGAGGTCCCTTTGTGTGTGGACGCTTTAATGGGTCCGTACAGGTACTGCCAATCCCTGAAATGAGTAAACAAAAAGAAAGGGACGTGTTTATCCCTACTTAGCATAGCTTAGTGTACATCTGAATTGTGCCAAGTGACCATCGTGAAGGAATGAACATGCTTACATGTTGTGCATTGCCTGCTTATGCAAAAGTAAGAAAAAAAATACTTAACCAAATAGGTACTTGTCTGGAAGACGCGAAGTGGTATAATGATTAAATTTTGCGAAAAAAAAAGAATTAAGAAAAATTCCACCTTACGTTACATATAAGCATATGTACATTGTTCCACCATTTGGGCGTGTCAGCCATGATAGCCTTCTTTTCCCTATTGCAGAAAAAAAAAAAAAAGGCGAGCGAGCACGTCCACAGCGAATTTACTAAAAAGGTGAAAATTGTGCCTACGTACAAAATGGACAGGTTTCTTAAAAAGTTAAGCGGAGGTTAATTAGGGGGAAGCGTATCCATTCCGTTCATTCAGCTTTTACTTGCCTTTTTGTTCCCCTTTTTTGTCCCTTTTTGACACATTTTTAATTTCATTACCCACAGGCGCGAATTAAACAACGCCCAGCACTGACAAGTTATATACAAATTGCACTTAAAAAAAAAATTTCACAAATGTTATAAGCACAAAGGTGGGGAAAAAAAAGAAAAAAAAGAGAAAAAACATTTTAAATATGACTCATAGGAGGAGTAATTATAAACAACTCTCTCCACTGTGATGAAGAAAGCATGTCTACTTTTATCAAGTCATTCGCATTTTAAACTGCTGACATAAAAACGTTTAACCACATCCTGATCAAATGGAAGTTAAAAACGAGCGCAGCCCCGAGAAAATGCAAAAAAAAAAAATAATAAAATAAAATGTTTGGGAACTAATTCCGCAGCTACTGCAGTTTTACGGGGGCGAAATGGACTGCGTGAAATGTAGTAGTCGCGTTTTTGCAACCTCGCAATGCATCTTTCGCTCTGTCCCTACGTCGATCTGGGAAATCCGCTGCAGGGTGATCCACTTCGGGGAAATTCTCTGCAGGGTGATATTCTTCTGGGAACTCCCCTTCCAGCGGCTTAACTTCGGTTAGCTGCGCGCGCCCTCACAACCCCCTCAACTTAAGCTTCAGCTCGTCATATAACTGCATCAAAAACTGCTTGACGTTTTCCAAGCGCAGCTCCGTGTTGTCTGTGTACATCATCTGCAGTTTCGTGGGTATGGTGGCGTGAATGTCCAGCGCCAAGAAGGAAAAGTACTCCAAATATAAGGAGGTGAAAAAATTCAGTTCCTTGTTCCGAAAATCGATGGATTTATTAACATTAAGAACGTTGGCGTACTCATCAATCCTATCGGTGATTTTCTCCAGATGTCTAAATTTTTCATTTTCTTTCGTGTCTCCCATTTTTTCGGTGTACCTTATTTTCAGTTCCAATATTTTATCATACAAGTTCATGATAATTTTTTTGTTCTCTTGCGTGAGTTCGAAATTGTTCAGGTGTTTATTATTGTCGACAAAAAGCTCAGCATTTACAAGGAAGTCCGTACTGGTGACATTATAGCTGTTTATTTTAAATCTGTACAAATTTAACACTGATATTTCTCCACTCTTATCCAGGAGGGACAAATCCAGAGGGTGTGCCATAATACCTATCGGAAACATATTATGGGTTATGGCAGCTTCGTTGGTATTTTTCCCCTTATTATCGACGAAAATCATAGCAATACAGACATTTCTGTTTGTTTTAATTTTTTTTAAAAATTGAACTTTCTCAATTTCGGAAAATTTAATTACTGTCCTTTCCCCTGGGAGAAGATTTGACTGTTCTGTAATTTTCGAGACGAAAACGGACAGGTCAACATTTTTCTTTTCTCTCCACACGAGCAGGAAGTTGTAAATGTTCAGCACGTGATTATTGTCGTACACCTTTTTTAGGTATTTTACTTCATGCTCCTCCAACGTTTTTTCCGTGTCAAAAAAGGACAGGTCATTTCCGCTAAGTTTCTGCTCTATCTTATCTTTTATTATTTCTTCATTCACTACATTTATGTATTCATTACTATCTCGTATGATTTGCAATATCTCCTTGGTGAATCCTCCCGATGGCTTTAGCTGTGTTCCTATTATGGGCATTTTTAATTTTTTGATTACTTCACTTTTTTGGCTTTCCATTTTTTCCGAAATGATATCCTTTGATGCAAGTTTGTCGTTAAAGTCATAATCGAACACATTCGGTTTGAATTCTTCCCTGTTTATCGTCTCTGTTGATGGTTCTTTCGATGTGTCTGTTGCTTCTGGTAGTGGGGATCCACTTCCTTCTGCGGCCTCCACTGAGTCCTGGCTCTCCTTAAGAGGTTCTCCTCCATTCACGCTTTCGTGGAGTACATTTTTTCCATACTTTTGGTGATATTTTGGAAACTTACGTTTTCGCACCCCCGTCGCCCCTACTCTCTTTCTATGCTTGTACGGTGTAAGAATCGGGTCATGATTCTTCCCCAGGTGGTTGTTGAAGGTGCCCAAGAAATGGTAAAGCGAAGAGCTTTTCGTCTTTTTACTCACTGCAAGGTTCAACAGGGTGAGTACCAGAAGGACGAATTTACTGCTCTTTAACATAATCGTTAGGTTGTGCTGTGTAGGAAGTATCGCTTATTTTGAGCCTCTCTCATTTGCCTCTTTGTTCATTCTGCGTGCACAACTGGAGGAAAAAAGAAATGCTTCCCTATTTTTTAGCATGTATGCCGTACTGCGCCGCGGTGTTGTCCCGTTTGGCGCAAACCTACGCGGGCTGCTGCTTTGACGGTGTGCTTATTTCTTCACACTCTCAGTCATCAGCTCGCCAGAGTTTGGCTTTCCCCTTATCCGTATGACGCATTGGGCGCAGCAGTGACACAATTTGGGCTTAATTTTGGCGCTCTTCTGGGGCAGTTTTGGCCAATTCTGACTAATCGTTCAAACCTTTTACAGCTCCGAAGTTGTCGCGCGTCCGCCAAATGGGCGAAAAATATGTATCTCCGATTTTTATCGTGATCTTCTATGTGGGCGTTATTTGAACGTTATGTTAGCATAACATGCGGGGCCCACCCCCTTTGGGAGAAATGAAAAAAAAATCAGCATGATGTAGTTCGCATGATGTAGTTCCCATGATGCAGGTCGCAAGATGCATACTGTACGAAAAACACCTAACCGCTTCGCATGTGTTCCCTATACCAGGGAAGGCAGAAAAACACTCCTCATAGTGGCCCTCCTCCGAGGTTACAGAATACATAGTGCGGTTACCTTATATTTCTTCTTGCCCCCCCGTAGGAAAAATATGAACGAATAGGTTAGACCAAATTAACAAAAAAAAAGTCCCTCCGAACAAAGATGCACCATGCTATTTAGAACCATTTTTTACAATGTATCACGGGGGTGTAAAGAGAAGAACATTCCATATCTCATCAAAAAGGGGAAGTTTTTCTGCATAGAAAAGAGGGTTGTTCTAGAGGAACGTAGAGGCATCATGGGGGATAGGCCCCCCCCCGTTGTTGATCCTCAACCGGCATATAAAAGCTACAAGGGCCATAATTTAAGCATAGTATATGAAAATGAGTTCTTCTTGGTGGTGAATAAGCCTTATGACATAAAGTTGGAGAAGGGGAAGCTCGACGATATGTACCCCTCTGTGGAAACGCTTCTTCGCCAGAAGACCAACTTGGATGTGTTCAGGTGAGCAGAGAACGCCGCGAGCGGGTCCGTTGATTTTACCCCTTTGCGTGCTTATTGCTCGGGTGGGACGTGAAGAGGGTGTCTTCGCGTTGACATCCCCGTTCTAACTTTACGTGATAGCTTCCACGTGATAGCTTCAATGTGATAACTCCACGTGATAGCTTCAATGTGATAACTCCCACGTGATAGCTTCAATGTGATAACTCCCACGTGATAGCTTCAATGTGATAACTCCACGAGATAACTTTCCGATGATGCCCCTATACGCCTACAGAATTTGCGGGCAGCTGGACTACGCCACGAGCGGCCTTCTAATCATCGCCAAAGACAAACTGAGCTGCAACATCCTGAATTACAACATAGAAAGCAAGCGCATAAGCAAAATATACCTAGCAATACTGTACGGACACCTACCCCTAGGAGTTCTCCATGTAAACACACCAATAAGTAAAATCAAAAACAAATTTAAAATGAAATTATGTTACAACTATAATGACTACTATGACACTGGGAAATATTGTTACAGTTTAATTTATCCGTATAAGCAGTGCTACTTAAAAAATGAGAAGGTAACCCTGTGTGAGCTTAGGACGATTACGGGGAGGAGGCACCAGCTAAGGCTGCATGCACTCTGTCTAGGCAGCGGAATTGTGGGAGATGAAACGTACTTTGAGGACATGATAAGTAATAAGTATAAAATTAGTTGGACTTACAACCCTTGTGAGGAACAGACAGGAGCAGGATCGCTTGCTGAGGGTGACCAACAGGACCGATGCTTTCCCACCCCAGAGAGACCAATCGCCAAAATCGATGCCGAGCGGATGATGCTTCACTGCTGGATGATCCTAAAAAATAACGAGGACCAAAAGAAGCAGCTTAAAAAAACAGAAGACATAAACATGTTGGAAAAAAAAATATTCGATCGGGATTACATCATCTGCTCAGATGAAATAAGTAAATTTGTTAATGAAGAAGAAAGGACGTATGACCAGTGCGTCTTAAAAAACGACGACTTAGTAAATAATAATTTTGTTAATTACAATGTTAAGAATATAAATAAAAATATTAAAAATATTGATAGAAGGTTAAGCAGAGGGAAACATGACCCCCTGATGAGGAGCCCTGACACAGTGGAAAGTTTAAACGAATTGGACGCCTCACATTTGTTGAACAGGGAAGAGGCAGATAAAACTGGAAAAAGAGAAAATAACTCACAGGGGAATGGCACTAGTGAGAAGGGACAGCTGCATCAGACACATAGTGTTATACCTACCGAGGACCACACCGAGTTGCATTTGCACCCAAACAAAATGCAAACCGTTGATGTAACGGGCACCCTTATAAATGCCCAGAAGCTAGATAAAAATTCCATTTATTTGGTGAAAAATGACATGTATGAAAATCCGAACCTTTTGTTCGACGACATTCACGACAGTGTTAATAAATTTAATTGGGGTTAACTTAAAAATATATATATCCCCATGTCTATGTGTTCGTCTTTATTGTCCTTACCACGAAGCAGTTTGCAGCAGACTATTTTATTATTTTATTTTTTTTGTCAACTTCGCGCGAATTCCGCACGCTTATTTCCCTGTTAACAATTTGTTCCGCCCCCAAATGGGCCTTTTCAATCGCTTTAAAAATTAAAAAAGATCTTATCAGGTAGTGCCAATTGGGCGACTACACACAAAAGTTATGTCACCCCCCTGCCTGCTTACGTTTGTATACATGCATGTAGGGTGGTTTACCAACGAAAAAGGTATATAAAGCTGTATAATATGCAATAGTGGGGTTAAAAAGTTTCAATCAGTGGTGAGGCGCATTATATATATACACACATGGAGGTCTTTCCCCTCACGCGTAGCAAAACATTTTGTACGTTCTCATGCCCATACACCCGAAAATTATAATTTTGAAGTCATCTAGGACGGATAATCCCTCGTGGATCCTCTCATTGTTGTGCTTCACATGTATATCGTTATGGATTGCACAGAAGTCTTCGCTTTCCAATTTAGTTGGCACGGCCTTGTGCCTCCTTTTCGTCAAAGTCGTGTCAGCAGTCTCGTCACTTGAGCACGTCGCTTGTTCGTTTATGCTGCACTCTGAGGAGGCATCGTTAAAGGTGGTGTACTTCATCTTTGAGGTCGCTCTGGAAAACTGATGCTGCCCAGGGGGTTCCTTCAGTCAGGACGCGGGAGCGCAGACACATATGTAAATATGTGCACATGCATATATATGCATATATACATGTGTACACATATATGTACGTCTTTTTTCCGCTTACCTCTTTGATTGGGGCTCTTTGTAACTGTTCAGGCAATTGGCAAGTTGTCCTCGTTAAAGAAATAAAAGGGGGACGAAAGGGGGCTCATCAACGCGTTTCTTTAATTTTGCCTTCGGTAGATGTGCACATGTGCATCTAAATGCATATACACTCATATATACATACATATATATATGTATTATTTTTTTCTTTTTTTTCCCTTTAATTCGCTAATGCGGTTGTTATGACACCCTTTTCACCTATTTGCAACTCCATTTCGTCCGTGTGCCACAAAATCGGGGCCAAATTGTTTCCCCCAAAGTGGTAGACACATGAAAGAAACTCAAATAGGTCTAAAAAAAATGATGCCAAGAGGCAGCCGCCCTGATGAGAATTTCTTCCCCCACTTCGTCCTGCACAGCAATTTAAGTATAGATATGCACATATATATATCTAATTTTTTTTTTTCTTTTTTTTTTTAATGCATGCGCAGAAAAACCAGATCAGCTTTCGCTTCAATTGTTCCCTGACTTTTTGCCCTCTTCAATACCTGTCTGGGTAACATTCCATTGTGGTAAAATGGCCTTTTTTCTTGCTTTGCAATTTCAAAGACAAAAAGTGGGAAGTGTGATAACTGGTAAAATTCTTCCAATCGGGAAAAAAGACCTTCAAAAAATTTGCCACAGCTTTGTTAATCGAAGAAAAGGGGACCGAAAATAGATCCCGCGTCCACAAATTTGCTTGACAAAAAAAAATAGTCCTCTTTTTAAGGGCGTTGCAGTTTCATATAAAAAATTAAGAAAAAAGTGCGCCACTCGGTATTGTAATGACGTCACTTCTTACTCCCTTAATGAAGTGACAAGATAGACATATGTGAAAAGGTCTATACGTATGTAATACGCCATGTGGGCCAAAATAAAAAAAAAAATAAATAATCCAATTGTCACAGGCAAATTTCGTCTACTCCTTTGAGCGCTTCAGCTGCACCATCGCAAGAGAAAAAAGGAGGAAACTGTGCCTCGTAAAAGGATTAAAGCAAGGTGAAAAGGAAACAGCAGTTGTCCGGAATCTCGTTTTTTTTTTCCCAATTCGAGGGGATTTAATTATATGTATAAAATTGTCACCAGAGGGGGTCCCTGTTGAGAGATTTGCAAGGTGATGGATGAACGAATGAAAGTTCCCAAAAGGGAATGCCAGACGTGAGAAAAATGAACATATTCCCACAGGACCAATGTGCGCATAACGTGTATTTAAATACCTATCTGTGCTTCCTCTTTTTTTTTTCTTCCTGTTTCTGGGGAAGGATCCCTCATCAAGGCACACTCATGTGATGCATTTCTCCAAAAAGGCAAACTTTCTTTTCCTCCGCACAGAACTTGTCACTGTACAGGTAAGCGTCGTCTTAGGCGCCATTTTGTGGCTTTAAAAAAGGAGTCAAATGTACTCACAAGTATAAATGCAAATATGCACATACGTAGGCCACTTCAATGGCCCTCAAAAGGAACCAACTAGCGGCTACAAAGAACGAGTTAACAATAAAAATATTTTGACGGCCTACACATGGATGCAAAATGTGGTGCGAAACAATTCGTCGACTCGCTTTACCAACTTGTAACATTAACCTATCATCGGAGCGCCGCACTGAAACGGTAGTAATTAAGAAAAAAAAAAGAAATAGTCAAAGTGCTGCCACAAATTAACACCTCGCAATAGGCGAAATTCATTTTTTTTTTATAATCTCCCTTTTGGTGAAGAAACAGTTGGCATTTTTCTAAATCCCGGTTGGCAGCAAAAACACTGTTTTTTGTTCAAAAGTGCGTCATACCTACAGTAGGTATGAATTTCTTTAGGGGGGGAGAGTTTCCCCGTAGGTGTGCCCTAACCCCATGTGCTACAGTTGTAGATGTAGCGGGCTACTAATTTGTCGCTAAAAGCGATAGGCACATATTGGGATGCTCAGAATTGCTTACCACGATAATTGACTCCGCCATCTTTGAGGCGTTCCATTCGCCCCGTCTTGGGTACCCCTGTTTTATCCCCCCCTTTTCTTTCCACGCCACACTGCATATGTGCGATATAAGCACACGGCTTATTTGTGTCGTTGTGGAAAACATCCAACTGAGGACAACATTCTACAGCGCATGAACCATGTCGGCCTTCGAAGAACTAGGCCTGCACGGCAACTTGTGCGAAATGCTAGAAAAAAACGGCATAGATTTACCAACGGCTATTCAGCAAGAGTCGATTCCGCTGATTCTAGGGGGAGGAGATGTATGCGCATCAGCTGAGACGGGGACAGGAAAAACGCTAAGTTTCATTGTGTCCTCTTTGCAAATAGTGCACGAATTGTTTAGGAATATAGGAACGTACGAGTCGAGCAATTCTAGCGTAGCCCTATGTGGCAGCAACAAGGGAGACAAGGATAATGGTGAAATTGCCAGTGATGTGAAAAAAGTGGGTCTACTCCTAAAAATGGTAAGCGGAAACAATTCGAGAGTCACCCTGAATAATGCACTTGGAGAATGCAGATGCAATGGTGACCACTCTAGCTCGTTCGAAGAAGTCAAAGTGGTCTGCGAAATAAGGAGTGGAATGTACTCCTACGAAATTGAAGTGCTAGGAAGATGCTTCCTGAACGTTGGATTTTGCCCCTCAGTAAAGGAAACGCTAAAATATAACTACACCTACTGCAGTAATGGGGGCAAGTACACCAATGGAAGGGAAGAAAATTATGGAGACGTGTTCTCAGCCAGTGATATAATAACTTGCTTGATAAATAAAAACACGAACGTAATTGCTTTTAAAAAAAATGGGAAATTTTTGGGAAATGCTTTTAAAATATTTTACAAGTATAATGATCTTCCTTTTTTCCCCTATATATGTGGGAAATACTTTCATGTGAAGTTCCATTTTGCAAATTTGAAGTACGGGGATGCGTCCTACACAGAGTTGAATCAAATTATGGGCTCAGGTCAAGAAGACAACTCCTGTACGAGGAAGATATACTACGGTGGAGACCCAGGGGGGAATAAGATCGCGTCAAAGTTCCAGAGCAAGCAGATGCAAACTAGTGGCACCCCTTCTGATAAGGGCGTTTTGGCAAGCGGAAAGGTGGACGCAGCGAATAGGACAAAGCTGTACTGCATCGTTCTCTGCCCTACTAGAGATCTAGCCATGCAGACGTACAACAATTACCTAATTTATGCGGAGAGTTTCAGCAGCTCCTCCATAAACATCGGGCTTCTAGTAGGAGGGGAACAACCTAACAGGGACAAACGAAATCAGCAGCAGTACAGCAACATCCTTGTGTGCACGTGCTTCAAACTTATGGAATGTATAAAGAAAAACACAATATGTTTGAACGATGTAAGACTGCTAATTTTGGACGAAGCGGACGAGCTTATCAATAATGATGAGAAGTCCGTGTTGCAAATTAAGGACACAAGTATGAAGCACAGTCAGCATGTACAGACATGTTTCTACTCAGCCACATTACAGGACCAAAACGTAAAGGATTGCATTAACAAAATTACGAATAAACCCATTTTCGTAGATTTGAAGTATGGGAAAAATAGCATCCCCTCACACATATATGTTTGCGTCTACTACGTTAACAATAAAAATGCAAACATGTGCTACTCAGAACAAAACAGGAAGGAAAAAATGTATGATGATATAATTTATAACGAAAAACTGCAGGCAATGAGCTACGAAATGGTTTATGAGTTTACAGACAAAGTACACTTACTCAATTGCGGAAAAAATGAAAAGGAAAAAATTTCCCTCGATGTTAAAATTAACAAATTGAAAAAATTAGTTCACATAATTAATGTTTTTAACATGCAAAATGGAATAATATTCTGTCGAACAAATTTAGACTGCGATAATGTGTACAATTTTTTAAACCACCTTGGAGATGGAAAAGCTTACAAAGGCACAATCGAAACGATGAAGGAAAATAAATACTCCTGCGTTATTTTGAAGGGGAAAATATCCAACACGGAAAGGAAGAATAACCTTGATGCATTTAAAAAGGGAGAAGTGCGCTTTTTAATATGTACTGACGTTGCTGCCAGAGGTATTGATATTCAAAATTTAAGATACTTAATCATTATGACTCTGTCTGATAATATAAATTCATTTTTTCACAAAATTGGGAGAGTAGGACGAGATGGAAAAAACAGCTTATGCATTGTG